TTATGGGAGATTCTAAAGAAAAATTGCACAGGTTAGTGGATGAGTTTGAGAATGTGTGTAAAGGTAGAAAGTTGAAAGTGAACATAGAAAAGAGTAAGGTGATGAGGGTATCAAATGATTTAGATAAAGAAAAATTGGATATCACATTGGAGAGAAGTAATATGGAAGAAGTGAATGTTTTCAGATATTTGGGAGTTGACGTGTCAGCAGATGGATTTATGAAGGATGAGGTTAATCATAGAATTGATGAATGAAAAAAGGTGAGTGGGGCATTGAGGTGTATGTGTAGATGAAGAACGTTATCTAAGGAGGCAAAGAAGGGAATGTATGAAAGTATAGTGGTACCAACACTCTTATATGGGTGTGAAGCTTGGGTTGTAAATGCAGCAGCGAGGAGGCAGTCTGAAGAATTGAGACACTTATGCAACACATGGGAGTCTTTATTGAAGAAACGTTTCACCACACAGTGGCTTCATCAGTCCAATACAAAGTTGAAATGGGTAGGGAGAGGAGAAGTTTGAGGTAATCAGTCCCTCAACCTGGAATCGATGTGTTTCAGTCCGTCACTCTTGTAGGAAATGCAGCATAAGGCCAGAGAGGTGGCTTATATACTGCAGTCAGGTGAGATGAAGCAGGAGGAGGCGGGATCACAGTGGGACCTGCCACTAGTGTAAGTAGGTCGTCGTCCAAGGGTTGGGCAAGCGTTGAAGTCTTTGTACCAAGATCCCATGATGTTGCAGTGTCTGACAGATGTGATGAATGGTTTAGAAAACTGACAAGTTGAAGGGTTGAGACACTTATGCAACGCTTGCCCAACCCTTGGACGATGACCTACTTACACTAGTGGCAGGTCCCACTGTGATCCCGCCTCCTCCTGCTTCATCTCACCTGACTGCAGTATATAAGCCATCTCTCTGGCCTTAGGCTGCATTTCCTACAAGATTGATGGACTGAACACATCGATTCCAGGTTGAGGGACTGATTACCTCAAACTTCTCCTCTCCCTACTCATTTCAACTTTGTATTGGACTGATGAAGCCACTGTGTGGCAAAACGTTTCTTCAATAAAGACTCCCATGTGTTGCATAAGTGTCTCAATTCTTCAGCTTGTCGGTTTTCTAAACCATTCATCACGAGGAGGCAGTTGGAGGCAGTGGAGGTGTCCTGTCTAAGGGCAATGTGTGGTGTAAATATTATGCAGAAAATTTCGGAGTGTGGAAATTAGGAGAAGGTGTGGAGTTAATAAAAGTATTAGAGGGATGAGGAGGGGTTGAGGTGGTTTGGTCATTTAGAGAGAATGGATCAAAGTAGAATGACATGGAAAGCATATAAATCTATAAGGGAAGGAAGGCGGGGTAGGGGTCATCCTCGAAAGGGTTGGTGAGAGGGGGTAAAGGAGGTTTTGTGGGTGAGGGGCTTGGACTTCCAGCAAGCATGCGTGAGCGTGTTAGATAGGAGTGAATGGAGACGAATGGTATTTGGGACCTGACGAGCTGTTGGAGTGTGAGCAGGGTAATATTTAGTGAAGGGATTCAGGGAAACCAGTTATTTTTATATAGCCAGACTTGAGTTCTATAAATGGGAAGTACAATGCCTGCACTTTAAAGGAGGCATTTGGGATATTGGCAGTTTGGAGGGATATGTTGTGTATCTTTATACATATTATTTTTTTTTATTATCACACTGGCCGATTCCCACCAAGGCAGGGTGGCCCGAAAAAGAAAAACTTTCACCATAATTCGCTCCATCACTGTCTTGCCAGAAGGGTGCTTTACACTACAGTTTTTAAACTGCAGCATTAACACCCGTCCTTCAGAGTGCAGGCACTGTACTTACCATCTCCAGGACTCAAGTCCGGCCTGCCGGTTTCCCTGAACCCCTTCATAAATGTTACTTTGCTCACACTCCAACAGCACGTCAAGTATTAAAAACCATTTGTCTCCATTCACTCCTATCAAACACGCTCACGCATGCCTGCTGGAAGTCCAAGAACCTCGCACACAAAACCTCCTTTACCTCCTCCCTCCAGCCTTTCCTAGGCCGACCCCTACCCCGCCTTCCTTTCACTACAGACTGATACACTCTTGAAGTCACTCTGTTTCGCTCCATTCTCTCTACATGTCCGAACCACCTCAACAACCCTTCCTCAGCCCTCTGGACAATAGTTTTGGTAATCCCGCACCTCCTCCTAACTTCCAAACTACGAATTCTCTGCATTATATTCACACCACACATTGCCCTCAGACATGACATCTCCACTGCCTCCAGCCTTCTCCTCGCTGCAACATTCATCACCCATGCTTCACACCCATATAAGAGTGTTGGTAAAACTATACTCTCATACATTCCCCTCTTTGCCTCTAACGACAAAGTTCTTTGTCTCCACAGACTCCTAAGTGCACCACTCACCCTTTTTCCCTCATCAATTTTATGATTCACCTCATCTTTCATAGACCCATCCGCTGACACGTCCACTCCCAAATATCTGAATACATTCACCTCCTCCATGCTCTCTCCCTCAAATCTGATATCCAATCTTTCATCACCTAATCTTTTTGTTATCCTCATAACCTTACTCTTTCCTGTATTCACTTTTAATTTTCTTCTTTTGCACACCCTACCAAATTCATCCACCAATCTCTGCAACTTCTCTTCAGAATCTCCCAAGAGCACAGTGTCATCAGCAAAGAGCAACTGTGACAACTCCCACTTTATGTGTGATTCTTTATCTTTTAACTCCACGCCTCTTGCCAAGACCCTCGCATTTACTTCTCTTACAACCCCATCTATAAATATATTAAACAACCACGGTGACATCACACATCCTTGTCTAAGGCCTACTTTTACTGGGAAATAATTTCCCTCTTTCCTACATACTCTAACTTGAGCCTCACTATCCTCGTAAAAACTCTTCACTGCTTTCAGTAACCTACCTCCTACACCATACACCTGCAACATCTGCCACATTGCCCCCCTATCCACCCTGTCATACACCTTTTCCAAATCCATAAATGCCACAAAGACCTCTTTAGCCTTATCTAAATACTGTTCACTTATATGTTTCACTGTAAACACCTGGTCCACACACCCCCTACCTTTCCTAAAGCCTCCTTGTTCATCTGCTATCCTATTCTCCGTCTTACTCTTAATTCTTTCAATAATAACTCTACCATACACTTTACCAGGTATACTCAACAGACTTATCCCCCTATAATTTTTGCACTCTCTTTTGTCCCCTTTGCCTTTATACAAAGGAACTATGCATGCTCTCTGCCAATCCCTAGGTACCTTACCCTCTTCCATACATTTATTAAATAATTGCACCAACCACTCCAAAACTATATCCCCACCTGCTTTAACATTTCTATCTTTAAACCCATCAATCCCGGCTGCCTTACCCCCTTTCATTTTACCTACTGCGTCACGAACTTCCCCCACACTCACAACTGGCTCTTCCTCACTCCTACAAGATGTTATTCCTCCTTGCCCTATACTCAAGATCACAGCTTCCCTATCTTCATCAACATTTAACAATTCCTCAAAATATTCCCTCCATCTTCCCAATACCTCTAACTCTCCATTTAATAACTCTCCTCTCCTATTTTTAACTGACAAACCCATTTGTTCTCTAGGCTTCCTTAACTTGTTAATCTCACTCCAAAACTTTTTCTTATTTTCAACAAAATTTGTTGATAACATCTCACCCACTCTCTCATTTGCTCTCTTTTTGACATTGCTTCACCACTCTCTTAACCTCTCTCTTTTTCTCCATATACTCTTCCCTCCTTGCATCACTTCTACTTTGTAAAAACTTCTCATATGCTAACTTTTTCTCCCTTACTACTCTCTTTACATCATCATTCCACCAATCGCTCCTCTTCCCTCCCGCACCCACTTTCCTGTAACCACAAACTTCTGTTGAACACTCTAACACTACATTTTTAAACCTACCCCATACCTCTTCGACCCCATTGCCTATGCTCTCATTAGCCCATCTATCCTCCAATAGCTGTTTATATCTTACCCTAACTGCCTCCTCTTTTAGTTTATAAACCTTCACCTCTCTCTTCCCTGATGCTTCTATTCTCCTTGTATCCCATCTACCTTTTACTCTCAGTGTAGCTACAACTAGAAAGTGATCTGATATATCTGTGGCCCCTCTATAAACATGTACATCCTGAAGTCTACTCAACAGTCTTTTATCTACCAATACATAATCCAACAAACTACTGTCATTTCGCCCTACATCATATCTTGTATACTTATTTATCCTCTTTTTCTTAAAATATGTATTACCTATAACTATAACTATAACCTATAACTAAACTTCTAAATTGTTGTATTCTGAGCACCTCTGCAAAAACAGTGATTATGTGTGAGTGAAGTGAAAGTGTTGAATGATGATGAAAGTATTTTCTTTTTGGGGATTTTCTTTCTTTTTGGGTCACCCTGCCTCGGTGGGAGACGGCCGACTTGTTATAAACAAAAAAAAAGGAAGAGTTATTTAGGTAGTGGAGTTGTTGGATTACCTTGCCCATGGAAGCAGTGCCGTGGTCAAAAAAAATGGAGAACCATGTTCTTTACTGACCTTTTTCATTTACTGTTCTGTACCATCTGTTGTTTACTTCATTTTCTCTACCTCTGCATTATCCTCATCATTTAATTTCTCTTTTCCATTAATCTTTTTTTTTTTCCTTGCCTATAATGTTACTGTATTTATTTTATTCAATTTTTTCTCATTTTTATGTACTTCCTGGAAGTAGTCTTTTTTTTTTATGCCTTTTTATTTCTCAGTAGTACAAATGATGACATTTCTTTTGCCTTTCTTGTTCATAGTGGTACAAGTGGTAATTTTTTTGTGTATGGTAGCCATACTAGTGTGTAAAATTTATTGACAGTTTTTTGGGTGCTCCTTCAAGATTATTTTTTTGTAACACTTTAAAAGTTATTAAAAACATACATTGGAAAATTCTATTTTATTACACAGTGCACTCTAACAGGTTGCGCTTCTGAAAAGAGTCTTGGCAGCATGGCAGAGTGAGGTAGAAAAGCAGCCATCTTCTATGACTGTTGAAGATGCTTACACAGAGCTTGGTCTGGAGAATGATTCTCGACATGATGATGCTAAGATTCGAAAAGCATACTTTAGACTTGCTCAGAAGTACCATCCAGATAAGAATCCTGATGGAAGGGTAATGTTTTCAATATATTGTTGTATTTAATAAATCCATTGCTCCAGAATCTAATTATTAAGATTTCTAAAGTGTTGGGAAACATCAGGAGTAGCCATGTGTGCATATTCCCTAGTAGACTATATTCAGAAAAATCTTTTGCTGCTCATAGTATCAGTGCAGAGAAAAGATATAAAAATATTTTATTTTCTTTGTGTTATGAACTACAGTACATGCAGAAAATTTATTGTGATATTCCCTTGAGGCTTATTATTAATTGAGATTTTTCTCCAAGTTTAATATTAATAGTGTATTTTTACAGGATAAATTTGAGAGGGTTAACAAAGCGTATGAATTCCTATGTAGTCGATCAGCACATGCAGTAGATGGGCCTGATCCGAAGAATATTCTTCTAGTTATCCGAACACAAAGCATTCTTTTCTCACGCTACAAGGATGGTAAGATTTTTATTTCAGATTTGTATTATTATTTGTAAAATAAGAAGAGAAAGACCTCAAAATAAGCAAATACCAGTCAAGTGTAAGTTTTAAGCACCGGTGAAGTTGTTGTACAGTTAGTATGATTAATCATTGGTTGTGATCTCCAATTGGACTGTTTAGTTTACATATTTTAACTTCATCTATTTTAACTGACTAAGACTTATGACATTAATACTTCGTTTATAGCATTATGTAAATCACCTTTGAATTTGTGATCAGATAGCTTGAAATTGAAGAGTTACTATGAATAATTACTGTGACCCATATTAGGAAGAACGAAAGTCAGTACCCATAATGCTGGTACTTTATGTATTGGTTGACAAACTGTATTTCCATTTGAGTTTCATCTGTAGGTAAAAGATTTCTTATGTGCAAAGGCCTTAGTAATATAAGGATAAATAATATATCCATAACATAAATATATACAGTAATATAAAGTACTAAGATATACTGACCACTTTACAAGACAGTAAATTACACTTGTGTACCTTAGTTCAACTATCCACAGTTACAGTTAAAAAGTATTGGTCATGCAGTCAAGTACATGGTGAAATATGTACTGTGTTCATGTGTGGGGTCGTAAGCTTGTTATGCATGTTGAGAGATGTGTGCTCTGTATTCATGTGTAGTGTTGTTATGAATATGGGGAGATGAGTACTACTGTGTATGTCTTTGCCATTTTTATGCACATGGTGAGGTGTTCTTTGTGTAGGTGTTTCATGTGAGGTCATTGGCTATATGGGAGTTGAAGATGTTGGGCCTAGTCTCTAGTTTTCATAATTGAAGGTTGGCCCATAGTGGTTAACTAATGCTTATATATAAAATGTGTAGGAATCCCATTTATTTTTGTGAATCTTCAACTTTATCTTCTTGCCTCTGTTATCTTTCTAGCTTGTCAGTAAGGTATCCTTCCATTAAAGCACTATGCAGTCAGTTGCTATGAGATCCCTAACAATATTTTGAATAGTGAGACAAACTGCACATATTTCTGTTTGTTTGTATGATACATACCATTGCATAATGCTTTTCGTAGATTTTTGTTTTGTTGATTTGTTCTTCTGCCTATATTTCCCCACATTACTAGTACCAGTGAAGGTAGACGTGATTTGTTCTTTCTCTCTGGCTGTAATTTTCCTAACTTACGGAATGGATGGCATTCAAGCTCATGGCAAGCCAGTTCTAAAACAGCAGGCCAATTAACAAATACTGTAAATCATTTCCTTGATGCCTGGAAGACTCCAGACTTCCTTAGAATTTCTCCTTGAAGTGTTAGCATCATATATCAATCTGTCTCCATTTTGAAACTCACAAATTTGTTTGTTGTTCTGGCACCACTTTTTTTTTTCTTCTTCTTCTTTCTTCTTCTTCTTCTTCTCCTTCTTCCAAAAAACTGGCCGTATCCCACCGAGGCAGGGTGGCCCAATAAGAAAAACGAAAGTTTCTCTTTTTAAATTTAGTAATATAACCACTGTTTATGTTCCTATTTATTTACTCTGATAAGTTCTGATAAGTTCGGGCGAGATATAAGCGACTATTGGCAGAAAGGTGGGCTAGTGCAAAGATGAGTAGTGGGGGGGTTGAAGAGGGTTGGAATAGTTTTAAAAATGCAGTATTAGGATGTGCGGCAGAATTTTGTGGTTATAGGAGGGTGGGGGCAGGAGGAAAGAGGAGTGATTGGTGGAATGATGAAGTAAAGGGTGTGATAAAAGAGAAAAAGGTAGCTTACGAGAGGTTTTTACAAAGCAGAAGTGTTATAAGAAGAGCAGAGTATATGGAGAGTAAAAGAAAGGTGAAGAGAGTGGTGAGAGAGTGCAAAAGGAGAGCAGATGAAAGAGTGGGAGAGGCACTGTCAAGAAATTTTAATGAAAATAAGAAAAAATTTTGGAGTGAGTTAAACAAGTTAAGAAAGCCTAGGGAAAGTATGGATTTGTCAGTTAAAAACAGAGTAGGGGAGTTAGTAGATGGGGAGAGGGAGGTATTAGGTAGATGGCGAGAATATTTTGAGGAACTTTTAAATGTTGAGGAAGAAAGGGAGACGGTAATTTCATGCACTGGCCAGGGAGGTATACCATCTTTTAGGAGTGAAGAAGAGCAGAATGTAAGTGTGGTGGAGGTACGTGAGGCATTACGTAGAATGAAAGGGGGTAAAGCAGCTGGAACTGATGGGATCATGACAGAAATGTTAAAAGCAGGGGGGGATATAGTGTTGGAGTGGTTGGTACTTTTGTTTAATAAATGTATGAAAGAGGGGAAGGTACCTAGGGATTGGCGGAGAGCATGTATAGTCCCTTTATATAAAGGGAAAGGGGACAAAAGAGATTGTAAAAATTATAGAGGAATAAGTTTACTGAGTATACCAGGAAAAGTATACGGTAGGGTTATTATTGAAAGAATTAGAGGCAAGACAGAATGTAGAATTGCGGATGAGCAAGGAGGCTTCAGAGTGGGTAGGGGATGTGTAGATCAAGTGTTTACATTGAAGCATATATGTGAACAGTAATTAGATAAAGGTAGGGAAGTTTTTATTGCTTTATGGATTTAGAAAGGCATATGATAGAGTGGATAGAGGAGCAATGTGGCAGATGTTGCAAGTATATGGAATAGGTGGTAGTTACTAAATGCTGTAAGAGCTTTTATGAGGATAGTGAGGCTCAGGTTAGGGTATGTAGAAGAGAGGGAGAATACTTCCCGGTAAAAGTAGGTCTTAGACAGGGATGTGTAATGTCACCATGGTTGTTTAATATATTATAGATGGGGTTGTAAAAGAAGTAAATGCTAGGGTGTTCGGGAGAGGGGTGGGATTAAATTATGGGGAATCAAATTCAAAATGGGAACTGACGCAGTTACATTTTGCTGATGATACTGTGCTTATGGGAGATTCTAAAGAAAAATTGCAAAGGTTAGTGGATGAGTTTGAGAATGTGTGTAAAGGTAGAAAGTTGAAAGTGAACATAGAAAAGAGTAAGGTGATGAGGGTATCAAATGATTTAGATAAGGAAAAATTGGATATCAAATTGGGGAGGAGGAGTATGGAAGAAGTGAATGTTTTCAGATTACTTGGGAGTTTGACCAGTGTCGGCGGATGGGTTTATGAGGATGATGTTAACCATAGAAATTGATGAGGGAAAAAAGGTGAAGTGGGCGTTGAAGTATATGTGGAGTCAAAAAACGTTATCTATGGAGGCAAAGAGGGAAGGGAATGTTTAGAAAGTATAGTAGTCCAACACTCATTATATGGATGTGAAGCTTGGGTGGTTTAAATGCAGCAGTGAGAGATGGTTGGAGGCGTGGTATGGTCTGTCTAAAGGCAATGTGTGGTGTGAATATATGCAGAAAATTCGGAGTAGGTGGGGAAATTAGGAGGGTGTGGAGTGTAATAAAAGGCATTAGTACAGAGGGAGAAGAGGGGTTGTTGAGGTGGTTTAGTCATTTAGAGGAGATGGATCAAAGTAGAATGACATGAAGCATATAAATCTATAGGAAGGGGAAGGAAATAGGGGTAGGGGTCGTTTTCGATAAGGGTATGGAAAGAGGGGGTAAAGGAGGTTTTGTGGGCGAGGGTTGGACTTCCAGTAAGCGTGCTATGAAGCGTGTTTGGAGGGTGAATGGAAATGATGATACTTGGGACTGCGATTGTTGGGAGTGTGAGCAGGTGTAAAATATAGTGAAGGGATTCAGGGAAACCGGTTATTTTCATATAGTCGGACTTGAGTCCTGGAAATGGGAAGTACAATGCCTGCACTTTAAAGGAGGGGTTTGGGATATTGGCAGTTTGGAGGGATATGTTGTGTATCTTTGTACGTATATGCTTCTAAACTGTTGTATTCTCAGCACCTCTGCAAAAGCAGTGATAATGTGTGAGTGTGGTGAAAGTGTTGAATGATGATGAAAGTATTTTCTTTTCGGGGATTTTCTTTCTGTTTTGGGTCACCCTGCCTCGGTGGGAGACGGCCGACTTGTTGAAAAAAAAAAAAAGTATGTACAAATACTATACAACTTATTGTTTGTCAGCTGCTTATTTTCTTTGGTGCAGTAGAAACTGCTTTACATTTGTACATAATAATAGGTGTCAGTGAATGCTGACACCTATTATGGGGTCAGCATTCACCATACTAGAGTTGGAAGGGTTGTATATGGATGGGTTGTATATGGATGGGTTGTATATTTATGGGTTGTATATGGATGGGTTGTTTATGGATATTCTATCTGTCTCATAATTACTTTTTGTAAAGATAGTAAGCCATTACTTTTATAATTATTTGTTTCTTGAAGAATAAAAGCCACAATTCTGTAGCTGGAGCATATCACAACTAAGTCACAATTTGTAAACACAGTATAGTTTTACACAATGTTCTGCTCTGTCCTGAATAGACTGAAATGCCATCTAGATTTGAGCTCCGAATTGTGGGTAATTTGTGCATTTAGTTCATGTTTAGTAGACTTAAAACAACTTGTTGTTACAGTGTTGGCACCATACAAATATTCTGGCTACCCAATGCTCATCAAGACCATCCAGCTAGAGGCAGATGATGAGCAACTTTTCAGTAAAGAGACCTCACTACTCGCAGCAGCTGCAGAACTCACCTACCATACTATTAATTGCTCTGCACTTAATGCTGAGGAACTAAGAAGAGAAAAGGGACTTGAGGTGAAGCTTGAAAGAAATTACGTTTAAATCTTTCCAGTTATTTTATCTTTTGTTCTATTTTTGCGGATTTTCTCTTTTCTTCTACTATGTAGAACTTTTTTGTGTGTATTTTCTGAGATGACCTCACGTTCATTTTCCTTGAATTCTTATTTGTTAAAAGTGAAAATAGCTGGAAGTTGCTCATAGTATGGATAGCAAGATTTATCTTTAACCCTTTCAGGGTCGACAGGCCCTCTCAGAGACTTGTTCTCAGGGTCGACCAAATTTAAAAAAAAAAAAATTATTTTTCTTATGAAAAGATAGAGAATCTTTTCCCAATCATAATGACACCAAAAGTATGAAATTTGATGGAAAACTTGCGGAGTTATGCTGTTGCGAAGTTAGTGGTCTCGACGATGTTTACGCATTGGCGATTTTACCCACTTTGAGCCCTATTTTTGGCCAATTCCAGTGCACTTGTCGACCAAAATTATAACTATTTTGCTAGAACTCCATTTTTTCTATTGAATGAGTACAAGAAACCACCCATTTACCGATTTAAACTATCCAATACAGTGGTCAGAATTTAGCAATTTTGCCAATTTCACACAAATTACAAAAGATGCCAATTTCTAAATAGGGTCCAGAATAAACAAGAAAGACATTCTGGCACTAAAATAACATTTCCTCTGTTCATAGTCACGTCTCAAGGCCCCTCTTACATTCTTTTGCTTTCCACTTTGAATTTTTATTCTCACAAAAAATAGAAGATTTACTGTTATGCAGACTACTGCATTAGTGTAGAAATGGTATAAATAATATCAATGCATTTGTGAAAGAATATTAGACTCACCAGTTGGCATGTATTGGATGCATAGCATGATTTGTTTACTTTTGAACTTTGGTAAAAATCGAACATTTCTGCTACTTTGAGCTCAATTTCAAGGTACTTTTCTTTGTAAAACCAGTCAAAATCATCTCAATTTCTGTAATATGTCTTCCAGTCTATAAAATGAGACCAGGAAAACTAGAATACAACAATAAATACCATACGAAAATACAGTGCAAAGTTGCTGTTTTAATCCAAAAACATGGTCAGTTTTTTTTTTTCTCATTACACACTGTGTGCTACAGGATTTTTTTTATACATGCACACTGACCACATAGACCCATTCTTTCATATGTAGGCCTACCGGCTTTCTCTCACTAGATTTGAGGGCGTTAGAATTTAGGCGTACTAGTACGTCAAAAACCCTGGTGCGTAAGCCGTACTAGTACGTCCAAAACCCTGAAAGGGTTAAAATAAAAAAATACAAATACTTCTACTGAATCAGCATTTACTAATTTTGCATTTAATGTAAAAAAAAAAAAAATTGCTTACCGTACATTATAATTAAAAGTGAAAATGGAATTTGTGAGAACTGAAACAAAGAAAGAAGAGAGACTGAAAATTGATTAACATTCAACATTTACTTTAAGAGTTTCCTAAATATGTTTTCTCTGTTGGGTCGCCCTACCTTAGTGGGAGACATAGTATTAAAAAAAAGTGTCATCATTTTAAGAACTTGGGGTATAATTCTAATTGCTTAATTTTACAACTCTTAAAATTAACCCTTTGACTGTTTCGGTCGTATATATACGTCTTACGAGCCACTGTGTTTGACGTATATATACTCATAAATTCTAGCGGCTTCAAATCAAGCAGGAGAAAGGTGGTAGGCCCACATGTAAGAGAATGGGTCTCTGTAGTCAGTGTGCACCATATAAAAAAAATCCTGCAGCACCCAGTGCATAATGAGAAAAAACTCCGACCGTTTTTTTTGTTAATTAAAATGCCGACTTTGTGATCTATTTTCATATAGTATTTGTGGTTGTAGTCTCATATTCTTGGTCTCATTTGATAGACTGGAAAACATGTTATAGAAATAAAGGTGATTTTGATTGGTTTTACTATGAAACGAACCGTGAAATGGAGCTCAAAGTAGGGGAAATGTTTGATTTTTGCCGATGTTCAAAAGTAAACAAATGATGTCATTTTCCAATAAATGTCCATGTAGCCATTCTAATATGCAGTCATGAATGGGTTGACATTATCTGTACAATTATTACAATATTGCAGTTGTCTGCATAACAGTAAATCTTCTATTTTTTGTCTGAAAAAAAATTCAAAATAAAAAGCAAGAGTAATATCAGGGAGGCCTGGAGACATGACTGATGAACAAAGAAAAAGTTATTTTAGAGCCAGGAATGTCTGCTTTGTTCATTCTGGACCTTATTTTGAAATTGTCATATTTTTTAATTTTCGTGAAATTGGCCAAATTGCAAATTTCTGACCACGTTATTGGGTAGTTGAAATCGGTAAATGGGCAGTTTCTTATACTCAGTCGATAGAAAAAATGGAGTTCTAAAGAAATAGCTATGAGTTTGGTCGACTGGAACAACAGAATTAGCCGAAAATAGGGCTCAAATTGGGCGAAATCACTGATTTGTAAATATCGCCTAGGTCGCTAACTTCACAAGAGCGTAATTCCGTCAGTTTTCCATCAAATTTCGTTCTTTTGGTGTCATTACAATCGGGAAAAGATTCTCTATCATTTCATAAGAAAAATATTCTTTTTTTTTTTTTTTTTTTTTGGAAATTTTGCGACACCAGGAGACACCTCAGGATTGGGGGTTGCGACAGTCAAGGGGTTAAAATAATTATTAGGGAATTTGTTTTGGTTACTACAAACACAATAAAATTTAATTAAATTTACATAAATGACAGTTTACTTATGAATGCAGCTTGAGATGAAGATAATACAGTGGACCCTCGGCTAACGATATTAATCCATTCCTGAGAGCTCATCGTTAGATGAAATTATCATTAGCTGAATTAATTTTTCCCATAAGAAATAATGGAAATCCAATTAATCCATTCCAGACAGTCAAAAGTATTAAAATATTTTTTTTTTTCATGTAATATACATTTCCCTACAAGGAAAACAATGAGACATGCACAGTAACTATATAAATAAATGTTAAAATGACACTTACCTTTATTGAAGAGTATTGATGAGTGATGAGACACTGTTTTTCTTGAACACTCTGGGATTTTCAGAGTGATACATGAGTAAAGCTTCACTTTACAATCCCCACGAGCATTACAACAAAACAAGAAAGTTAGCTTGTCTCTCATAGGCTTGTGTCCTGGGAGTGCCTTTTCCTCCTGAGTAATGTAGGTCCTGTTTGGCATTTTCTTCCAGAACAGGCCTGTTTTGTCACAATTGAACATATGTTGGGGTTGGAATTTTTCAGCTTTGCCATGCCTTACCACACTGTGTATGCCACTACGATTCTTAAATCTCTCAAACCAACCTTTGCTGGCCTTAAATTCACCAATATGAGCACTAGTTCCAGGCATTTTTTTCTGTTCACCTGGGTGTTAGTTGACTGGTGTGGGTCACATCCTGGGGGACAAGATTAAGGACCCCAATGGAAATAAGTTAGACAGTCCTCGATGACTCACTGATTTTCTTGGGTTATCCTAGATGACTAACCCTCTGGGGGTTAATCGTTTCTTGGTAATTGTTTCTCGTTAAGCCACACCAACAACAGTCTCTCCACATCTTCGAGTAGTACAGCTGACAGTGGTGCAGCAACAGCTGACGGTGGTGCAGCAACAGCTGACGGTGGTGCAGCAGCAGCTGACCGTGGTACGATAATATTTCGATAGTATTTCTCACCCTTTTTACCACAGGGTTGGCACTAAAAGCTTTCTTTGGGCCCATGGTGGCTTATTTAGTAGTTACAAGCACTATAAACAATGGAATAATACAAAATGTATCGAATATATGCATGAAACCGGGCACCCTGGCTTGTAAACAATGATGGCAGGGCAGCTGAGGCGCTCAGGCTGGACGGACAGTTTCCAGACGAATCACATTGGGCGAGTTTTTTATCGTTACGCAGGCCAAATTTTTTACGCTCAAATGCTTCGTTAGGCGGATTTAACATTATACGATGCGTTCGTTAGCCGAGGGTCCACTGTACTTAATTTTGATGCCTATTATGTATTTCATAAAGTGTCTTCTATTCTCCCATCAGGTACTACAAGGTGCCTATAATAGGTGTGTGAGTGTACTTAATGCCAGTAGTAAACCCAGTGACGTTGCAGTTCAGGTGTGTACAAACATTGCACGGTGCTACACGGCTGCTGCCTCCTTCCCTATGTGTCGAGAGAAACTCATTGAGATGTCACACTTCATCAAGGATCTGTGTCACACACTTTACTTCAAGGTAAGATAAATTATTTTTCAGAAATGTTCTTTTTCTTTACCGAAGGCTGCTTTTTGAGTACAGTGGACATCCTCTATAAGGGCATCCTGAGGTAGTTGGAACCTTGACATCACTGTATGCTTATCCTAATTTGCACATTCCTCTTAGGCTTGTTGTTTGTGCTTGTTTCTTCCTCCATCTTATTGTAGGTCTTGTATATCTAGCTTTTGTTTCTAATGTCACTTGAGAAAGGCCAAACAGTGATTTAAGAAGCAAAAACTGGCAGGTCCTTGAGTGAGATAAGCAATGAAATACTATATGAAGGATCACTCAATCAAGTTTATTCTCTATAAGGATTACAATGCAGGGTTTACAGATTTTGGTTATTGTGTGATTTACATGTAATAAAATACTAATTACAGAGGGGGACCACTAGGACACCTAGCATGGCTAGACATTTCGGGCAAACTTAGATTAATTCTTACCCCTAATTTATTACAAATAATGGAGTAAGTTGACTTAATACTAAGTGACTGAATACTAGTTTGTGAGTTTAGCAATGTACATGCTTTTGTTTTGGCACAATACATAGTTTCTATATTGGAGTATCACAGGCAAACTTATGACTAGTTAGGAATCATTATTTTAAGATTAAGATTCATATTTCTGTGCTTATAGTCAAATGGGTGAGTGAATGAGTGTAAGTGTGAACCACCAGGTGGTTTTTATGTAGTTAGTTGACGGGGTGTATCAGGGAGATAAGATGTTTTCTAACGGTAGTTTTGAAGGTGATGAATGTGTCTGCAGTTCTAGAGTTTTCAGGTAGGGTGTTCCAGATTTTAGGGCCTTTGACATACATTGAATTTTTGTAAAGGTTTAGTCGGACACGGGGAATGTCTTAGAGATATTTGTGTCTGGTGTTATGCCTGTGGGTCATGTCACAACTATCAAGAAAGCATTTTAGGTCAAAGTTAATATTGGAATTTAAGGCCCTGTAGATGTAGATTGCACAGTAGTAAGTGTGGATGTTCTGAACAGGGAGTAAGTTTAGATCTATGAAGAGTGGGGGGGTGTGTTGCCAGGGATGGGATTTAGTGATTGTTCTTACTGTGGCTTTTTGTTGGGTTATTATTGGCTTTAGGTGTGTTGCTGCAGTTGATCCCCAAGCACAAATAGCATAGATGAGGTATGGATAAATGAGTGAATGGTATGGTGTGAGAAGGGCATTTTGCGGCACGTAGTATCGTATCTTGGAGAGGATCCCAACTGTTTTGGATACATTTTTTGTTATGTGTTGGATATGGGTGCTGAAATTCAGGTTGTTGTCGAGGTATAGGCCTAGGAATTTGCCCTCATTGTGTCTGGCAATTAGAGTGTTATCGATCTTAATGTTAAGTTGTGCAACACCTGCTCTGCTACCAAACATAATATAGTAGGTTTTGTCAGTGTTAAGTGTAAGTTTATTGGCTGTCATCCAAGTCGATATTTTGAGCAGCTCCTCGTTTACAATGGTGTTGAGGGTGGCAAGATTAGGGTGAGAGATGACATAAGTCGTGTCGTCAGCAAAGAGAATGGGTTTCAGGTGTTGGGATACGTTTGGAAGATCATTGATGTAAATGAGGAAGAGCAGGGGTCCAAGGACACTTCCCTGCGGAACTCCAGTATCAAGTGGCCGTGTTGATGATGCTGTGTCTTTAATGGTGACATACCGATACCTATTAGTAAGGTAGGATTTGAAATATGCGCATGGCCTCTTATACCATAATGGTCAAGTTTGTGGAGTAGGATGCCGTGATCTACTGTGTCAAAAGCTTTTCTTAGGTCAGTAAAAATTCCTAGTGGATATTCCTTATTTTCCAATGCTGTGTAAAGCAGATCTAGCATTTTTACAATTGCATCATTAGTGCTTTTATTTTTCCTGAATCCAGATTGGCAGAGGTTGAGTATGTTTTGTGCCGTTATAAATGAATATAGTCTCCTGTGCACGATTTTTTCGAAGATTTTGGATAGCAATGACAAGTTTGATATTGGTCTATAGTTGTTTACATCTGTAGGGTCACCATCTTTATGTATTGTTGTAACCCTTCCTGTCTTGAGTAGTTTCAGGAAGGTGCTACTTTCTAGTGACTTGTTAAAAAGTAATGAAATAGCATGTGAAAGGACATGGGCTGCTTGCTTGTACAATAATGGTGGGACATGAGACAGATTCCCTGAGTTATTTTTAAGTGATTTTATAATCTCGGTGACTTCGGTGGGCTCACTTGGTACAAGATAGAAGGAATTTGAGAAATTCCCATCTAGGTAGTCCCGGGCATGGGCGTTGGTACGTGGGATTTTTCTGGCAAGATTAAATCCTATGGTTGAGAAGAAGTCATTTATCTTGTTAGCTATATCAGTGGGATGCAGTGGTGTTTCATTAGGTTTAGTTAGGACAATATTCTTGTTTTTTTTCAGTTTGTGGGTGCCCAGAATCTGGGAGAGTGTTTTCCAGGTCTTTTTTATATCTCCTCTTGTGCCAGTGAATCTGCTGGAGTAGTACAGTTGTTTGGCTTTCTTTATTACTTTGGTGAGAACTGATGAATAGTGTTTAAGAATATCTTTGTGTATTAAGCCCTGTCTATATTGCTTTTCATATTGGTGTTTCTTATCAATGGATTTCAGAATGCTGCTGGTTAGCCATGGGCAACCGAGCCGTTTATTCGTGATCTGTTTCGTTTTTATAGGGCAATGTTTGTTGTATAGTCTAAGTAATTTGTTAAGAAAAATGTCTGTCCAATCATCAGTACCACTGGCCGTGGAGAATTCTGTAGGCCAATCAACAGTCTCTAGGTTTGCTGTGAACTTCCTTATTGAGGCCTCGTAATAGAGTCTAAATGAAACTTTGTTGTATTCCAGTGGTGGTTTACTAATGCTTGTTAAGAGAAAGGTTGGGTAGTGGTCTGTAGTGCTGTCTGTGATTATCCCTGATTTAAAGGGGGCTAGTATATTGGTCCATATGTGATCTATTATGGCTGCACTTGTCTCAGTCAGCCTGGTTGGTTTAGTTATTGTTGGTATGAGAAGTGTGTTGTTCATATTGTTGATGAAATCAGTTACAGGCTGATCATCTAGTAGGCCAAGGTTGATATTGAAGTTTCCAGCTAAGAGAAGGTGGTGCTTGTTCATTTGTCTGTTTGTTATTAGTGCCTTTAATTTCTCACTGAAATTTGGGATGTTTATGTGGGGTATCCGGTAAATGGCACGATTGTTATAGGCATCTTAAGGTTTTTTACAGTAAAATTAGCAAAAATGTATTCCCCATATTCATCACTAAAGGATGAGATTAACCATAGAATTGATGAAGGAAAAAAGGTGAGTGGTGCATTGAGGTATATGTGGAGACAAAAAAACATTATCTATAGAGGCAAAGAAGGGATTGTATGAAAGTATAGTGGTACCAACACTCTTATATGGGTGTGAAGCTTGGGTGGTAAATGCTGCAGCGAGGAGGCAGTTGGAGGCAGTGGAGATGTCCTGTCTAAGGGCAGTGTGTGGTGTAAATATTATACAGAGAATTTGGAGTGTGGAAATTAGGAGAAGGTGTGGAGTTAATAAAAGTAGTATTAGTCAAAGGGCTGAAGAGGGGTTGTTGAGGTGGTTTGGTCATTTAGAGAGAATGAATCAAAGTAGAATGACATGGAGAGTGTATAAATCTGTAGGGAAAGGAAGGCGGGGTAGGGGTCGTCCTCGAAGAGGTTGGAGGGAGGGGGTAAAGGAGGTTTTGTGAGCAAGGGGCTTGGACTTCCAGCAAGCATGCGTGAGCATGTTAGATAGGAGTGAATGAAGACCAATGGTATTTGGGACCTGACAAGCTGTTGGAGTTTGAGCAGGGTAATATTTAGTGAAGGGATTCAGGGGAACCGGTTATTTTTATATAGCCGGACTTGATTACTGGAAATGGGAAGCACAATGCCTGCACTTTAAAGGAGGGGTTTATGATATTGGCAGTTTGGAGGGATATGTTGTGTGTCTTTATATGTATATGCTTCTAAACTGTTGTGTTCTGGGCACCTCTGCAATAATATAAATGCAGCGATTATGTATGAGTGAGGTGAAAGTGTTGAATGATGATAAAAGTATTTTCTTTTTGGGGATTTTCTTTTTGGGTCACCGTGCCTCGGTGGGAGACGGCCAACTTGTTAACCCTTAAACTGTCCAAACAGATCTACATTCACATGTGTAGCGCTCCAAAAGTAGATCTACGTTTTTTTACATATTTTCAAATATAACAAAAAAAATGTAGATCAAAGTTTTTTACATGTTTTCAAATGTAAAAAAAGAAAAAGAAGCTCTACGTTTTTTTACATACTTTCAAATGTTGAAAAAACGTAGATCTACATTTGGACAATTTAAGGGTTAAAAAAAAAAAAACATAGGGATGATACATATGTTGTTTTGCTAGAGAAAGTTTTTTGACCATAAGAAATTGTATTGTAATTAAGTGTTTGAGTCTGCAGGTGCTCTGCTCTAACTTTTGGCTCCAACTTAGCACTAACTTGAAAAAACTTAGTCATGTTTACCTTTGAGCTCTTGCATGTAGTCATATTGTGGTGTGTTGCTGCTGCTCAAATCAATGCACTTCTTTATCGCAAATGATGAAAAAGTATTGTTTTATATTCCTGTGGACCAGTTTTGTGTGTAATTTCCATGTCTTCCTTTATTTTTTTCAATTTCCATGATTGTCTGTCTGCTGAGAGTGTATTGTGTGGCCTGGTGGCTACAGCTCCCGCTTCACACACGGAGGGCCCAGGTTCGATTCCCGGCGGGTGGAAACATTTCGACACGTTTCCTTACACCTATTGTCCTGTTCACCTTACACCTATTGTCCTGTTCATCTAGCAGCAAATAGGTACCTGGGTGTTAGTCGACTGGTGTGGGTCGCATCCTGGGGGACAAGATTAAGGACCCCAATGGAAATAAGTTAGACAGTCCTCGATGACGCACTGACTTTCTTGGGTTATCCTGGGTGGCTAACCCTCCGG